CAGTTGTGGCAGATGACAGAACAAAGAGCAATGGTCTTAAATTGCAGCAAGGGGAGTTTAGGTTGGTATTAGGAAAAACTTTCTTACTCGGATGATGGTGAAGCACTGGAACGGGTTACCTAGAGAGATGGTGGAATCTCCACCCCTGGAGGTTTTTAAAGCCTGGCTTGAAAAAGCCCTGGCTGGAATGATCTAGTTGTGGATCATTCTGCTTTGAGAAGGGGCTTGGCCTAGGTGACCACCTGAGGTCCCTTCCAACCCTAATTTTCTATGATTGAGAACACACAAGAGAGTCAGAATGTTTCACTAGAGTGGCCCAACTTGAAACCAAGTTGACAGTGATTTAACTGTGTTACTGCCCAGTTGCTGTTCAGTGAACTATTTGAATTGTGATCACGTTGACAAGCTAGCTGTTGGTTCCATATCACAAAACACCCTACAGCAATTGGCACTAATTTAACACCCTTCTCAGCTGTCTTAATAGTGGACATATATTTGATAGATCTCCATATTAGTGTTGCCCAGGAACACCCAGGGGTCTGCCTTGTCCGCAAGTGGAAGGGATGGGGTGGTCAGGCAAGAGTGCTGTGAGAGGCGCCTGCCACTGGGGAGCAATACCTTCTTTTCTCTATAGAGCCAGGCCAGGACAAAGCACTTAACTGTATACAAATTTATTGCTATACAAAATTAAATATAAATAAGAGACATTAAATATTTACAGTAGAATTGGTATGTGACACCATATACAATAACCTGCAATCAACGCATTGTACCACTTTGAGGGACTGCAAAACATAGAACAGGTAACTGGGAACTCAGTACAGGTGATCCACAGCTCAAGCAATAATTAACCCCCCTGCACAGATGAACATTAACACCCTGGAACAGGTAAGTCAAGGCATCAACACAGTAAACACATATAAGCATCAACTTGGATAAATCCAGGTAAGTCGAGGTAGCAATGCAACAGACATACACAGGCAACAATACGGGTAAGTTTTGATAATAGGCAATAAACATATGTAGGCAATAAAAACAGGTAAACCAATATAGACCCCCTTAATGAGTACCCATAACTATATTAACATGAACAATGTGAAGCAAACATCAGTCACAAAATATGAGGTACACTCAGCAACCTATGGGGTGTTCCCTGGAGCCCCTTCTTTTTGGGGCCCCAGGATGTGGGCCCCCCCCCCCCCCCCCGCTCAATGGAGGAGGCTGCAGCCCCTCCTCTTCCAAGCCCACCTCTCCTGTGGGCCCACTTCCCCAGCATCTCACACTCCTACTCTGAAGCAGATAAGGCTCATCCCCTGGTGGCCAGTCCTGCAAGGGCCTCTCTCCAGCAGTGCCTCTGGCTTCTCTCAATGGCCTGGTGCCCTGCTCTGGACCCACTCAGCCTCCCACTGTGGGTCTTTCCTCTCCCCAGGCCCTGCTCTGGGGCTCTTTTAGTTTAATGCTGAGCCACACTGCAGGGATCCAGTTACCCGGCCTAGAGCCAGGGCTAACTTGAGCAGCCTCAAGCTGCTCTTGAGGTCAACTCTCCATGTGCTGACCTGAGCACTGTGTGGGGCCTGAGCAACCTCAAACCACTCCCAGGGCTGGCTTTCCATGCACTGATCCGCACACCGCCCCAACCAGCCACTTGCTGGTTTTGCTGACTCAAGCTGCCTTGAGCAGCTCCCAGAGTCTGAGCACTGTGCACTGATCTGCACATCGTCGAGGCTCAGGCGGGGTCCCGATGACAGTCTTCTCCGGAGCTCCTCTCTCCTCGCCATCCCTTGCCGCTTCTGCCCCCCGTGTGCCGAGCACACTTTCCTTTTATACGCTTCAGGGGCTCTGCCCCTGAAGTCCAGCAGACCTGCCGTGCTGCAGTCTACAATCTGGTCAGGGAGCTCCTTTCCCCCTCCCTTCAGGAAAGGGGTGGTGCCCACTTTCCCTAACTTGTTCCTGATTGGTAGATTGGCTCCACCAATCGGAATTGAGGATTCTCGAGCCCCTGGATGTGTTGGAGCTTGATCAGGTAAGTCTGTCACATTAGGAGGCACATCAGAAAAGTAACGTTGGGGAACTTGTGCTATTGTTGCTTATGATGGATTTACTGTGTGGTTTGGGACTTCAGATTCCAGGGATAAATTGCACGCTTTTTGCAGTACTAAGTTAATTTTAAACACAAGGTTTAGGGTAACATTTTCCATAGGACCAAATGACTTAGGAGGCTAAATGCTATTTTCAGAAATAACTTGGACAGGGGAGATTTTGAAAGGCACCAACTGCACTTAATGCATGTCTTTGCATCTTTAGAGTAACCTAGGAGGGATGCTCCCACTCTCATGAACCAAATCTGCAAATATGGAACAGAGCTGGTCTGAGGGCACCCATCTATAACCACTCTCAGAACTTTGGTGTCTGGTAGTCTTGACAGTCTGGCCTATGTGGTACCCCAGATGTTGCATTTCTGGGTTTGGTGCTTGCAAGTAGGAGAACGTGGGTGATATCTGCTTGTATGTGTCCCTCCCAAGACTCAATGAAAATGCAGAATAGCCATATCCTTAAAAGCTGAACATGTACTGGAAGTAAATGTGAATTAGCTGCCTTTCAGTTGTGTCTTTGAAAACTTGGCTTTAGGCACCTAAATCCATTAGTTTTCATTAAGACTTAGGCTCCTAGGGCATTTATGCACATGCTCTGGGAGGTGGTGGTGGGGGGGTGTGTGGTTCTTGAGTGGCTCTGAGAGCCGCTCTAATATGCCTGGAGTGTCACATGTATCAGCATCCCTGTGCTGAAAAATGGCGGTTGGGGCATTTTAACTAAAGACCATCAAATGAGCTTCGGTTAAAGTGCTCCTGCTGCCATTTCTCAGTGTGGGGATGGTGATACATGTGACGCTTGAGTCGGCTGGGGCGCAGTAGTTACCACGTTCCAATTAATTGAGTCTGCTCTGACGCACTGTAATTACAGCACGTTGGACCAGCCTCAGTGTACATGTATAGGCACCCCTAAGACACCTAAACACCTTTCCAAATTTGGCCCTAAGTCCTATTGCAATGGCAGTTTTGGGGCCTAAATAGGTTTTAGGGTGGTACACAAATGTCTTCTTGGATCTGTCCCAATGTCACTTCTGAAAATGTAATTTAGGCTCTTCAGTTCCTTGGGCATTTTGGAAATTTTTGACTGATCAGCAGCAGGTAAATCAATTAAAATCCTGTAGGTAATAGTTGCTAGTATTCAATGAACACCCAGAAAAATTAATTGGCTAATTTATTGCTTAAAATATTGAAGCCTCCTGAACTATTTGCACAGTATCATTCCATTCTGACATTATGGATGCTGTTGTTACCATTGACCTGCCACATTATATTATCTTCCTAATTAAAGGAGAATTCAGAATAGCATTTCTGACCATGATAAAAGGATAGCTTAGCATTAAAAAGGATAGTGTCATTTTTTATGCCTCCCAAAGGATTCATTAGGAACAATAACTTCAATTACAAAGAAAGATTTCATATATGTGAATCAGTAAATGCAGAAACATTATTTTAATAGGGTGACAGATTCTATGTATACAAAAATGAGGATGTGATCAGAAACCTCAGTTACGTTGCTATATCCAAACACTTGTTATAACAGGGACCCTACCCCCTTACTGAAAGGGAAGGTTAGAGAGGGGTGCAGTACCTTTAAAAGGACCCTGCTATGAATAAGGCCAGGCATCAGAAGATGGAGAGGCCACTGTTAGGCTCAGAGGCTGTCAGACCCTAGAGTGCTGTGAGAGGTGCTGCCCAAATCTTACTACCAAGGGTGACACCTGGCAGCAGAACTAAAAGAGCTGCCATTTCCAGAGCATAAATAGTGGGTTGCAGGAGCTGAGCCATAGACAATTAACGGAGGGAGGCAGGACTGCAGCAGAGTGTAGTAGGAGGCCTGCTAACTGGACTAGAAGAAACTACTGCTCCTTGTCAAGGGAACCCAGGGCCAGGTGACTGGAAAGGGGAGAAGCAGGAGTAAATATAAAACATGCCCAGGGGCTAGCACAGGGGTAGGCAATTATATTGGCTGGAGGGCCACTTAAGGAGTTTTGGTAAGATCTTGAGGGCTGGAGGGTGGGCAGATGGGCAGGGTGGAAAGATGGGCAGAGTGCACTGGGCCTGGCGGATGAGGTAGGCAGAGAGCAGTGTTTGGAAGGAGGATGGGTGAGCAGTGCCAGAATCATGGGGCAGTGGCAGCATGGAGCTGGGACCTGGGATAGAGCTGTGTCTTCGGTTTTTAGAGCTGTTCCCTGTTCTTCTGTTCTCTGTTTAGAGCTGTAAGCCTTCGGACCCCTTCTGTTCTCAGTGGTGGCAGATGGCAGAACAAGAAGCAATGGTTTCAAGTTGCAGCAAGGGAAGTTTAGGTTAGATATTAGGAAAAACTTTCTCACTGGGTGGGTAGTAAAACACTGGAATAGGTTACGCAGAGAGGCTGTGAAATTAGGGGTTCCAACTCTGAGTGAAGCTATTCTGGGAGATTTTTTTTTTTCCAACATGACATAATATTAGCTAAAAAGACTGTTGAAAGCTATCTCCTGGATTGCTTTCAATAGTTACCAGGATATCAATGCTGATTCTGGTAGACTCCTGGCTAATCCAGGAGGGTTGGCAACCCTATGTGGAATCTCCATCCTCGGAGGTTTTTAAAACCCAGCTAGACAAAGCCTTGGCTGGGATGATATAGTTAGGAATAGTCCTGCTTTGGGTAGGGGTTTGGGTTAGAGACCTCCTGAGGTCCCTTCCAACCTCAGTTTTCTATGATTCTATGTTTCTTGGATTCTATGAAGAGAAAAGCTTGTGTTTCAGTAACTGCCATTCTTAAATCAAAGCTACGTGTATTGATGAGCAACCTTTCACCAGCGTGTAGAGGTTTAGCTTCATTGTTACCCAACATTTTGCCCATAAAACTGCTTACTCAGCCTCTCATGTTGGAGTTGTCATTATTCTTAAATGACATTTTGCTGTTTGTAGAGCCAAGGCATTTACACCTGGGTTCTTCAACTTTGGGGTCACCGAGCTGCAAATCATGGAGACCACTAACTGAGAAGGACCTCTCAGTTCTGGTATGTGTTCTTTTAAGTTTGGACTGTGATTCCTGTTTGTGTTGATTAGCACTTTACTCCAATAGTAACTTCACTGATTGCTGTGGGGCTGTATGTAAGATCCTAACTCAGCACAACCCTTAGGCTTTAGTTAACTGTGGCTGTGTCTACATGAGCAGCGGACTGTGCAGTTGTTACTGTGCAGTCATTTGGTACTTGCATAAGCACATACTAAATGACTGCACAGTAACTGGTGTTACTGTGCAGTACTGTTGCTGTGTGGCTTTTTTCAGATGGTACTGCACGGTAGCTTGTTACTACTGCACAATATTATCGCCCCACAGTTAGTGCCCGCCAATGCTACTGTGTGGTAGCAATGAGCTACTGTGCAGTAGCATCTCATGTACATGTGCCCTGTAAGTCCTATTAAATTCAATGAGATTTAATATATCTAAAATTAAGCACCTATTTTTATGCTTTGCTGGAAAGGGACAGTTTGCTGAATTGTCACTTTGGGTACTAGTCATGGTGAGGAGGAGGGTCGAATTTTTCATTGTATGGAAAGTAGGTTGTTGATATAAACAGGGGTAACAATTGTATCAATATTGGAGGTTAATAATACAAGCTGTTTATGAGGCAACTGTTGTGCAGCATCTTTAATCATACTTCATCCCAAATCGAAGTTAGGGTGATTTAGTTCACTTCCATTGCAGCAAGATCACATGAACATAATAGTTAAATCATAAAGTTGCTGCATATTCCCAAGCAGTGGCAGTCCTCCCCTGCCCTTCCCCTTTATAGCTGTTAAAAGGTATGTTTGCCCTTACCCAGTTTTCTGGGAAAGTGAGACTTGGTGGAATACTGAGAAGTTTACTATTAACTGTGCTATGAATATATCCTCTCTTTCTCTCCTGGATTTTAAATTGTGGGTAGGAGAGGTAAGTAGGAAACAAGGCCTAATTTGGGATATGTCTGAGGTTTCTGAAACAGTTCATCCAGTTTAACTTACGTAATGTATGTTGTATTGAAATGTACAAACCTCTTGCTAGCTCAGAAAGCATTGCCTCTTGGTATTTATATCTAACTTATTCAGAATGCATATAGTGTTATATACAGTTATTTCGCAAGAATCAATACACCTCAGAGCTTATTCTGATTTAGTTTTTTCCCCATGAATTCTAATAAATAATAATATTATGACTCAGTGGCAGTGAGTCAGAGCCTCAGCAGTACTAACTGTAAAAGTAATC